GACAGTTCACAATGAATACACATGTTAAGCATGAAAGCCCTAGCACCTACTGATCAAAATTTAGGCCAAGTTTTAAGTTTGGTATTTTTCTTGTAAAAATGTGTATCCTAGGTCAAGCGATCAGAGGTAAAAATTAATGGTACCCAAATAAAAGGTCTTAATATTGTCACAAGAAATAAACCTATAAAATGTGGAAGCCATTTGTATAGCCCATCCCACTTAAAACTTATGGGCAAGGTTATAATTTCTGCAGACAAATAGACAGACATAATATAAACACAAAAAACAAAATATGTATAATTAATCAAATGGAAAAAAATATACTATTTAATTGGAATCACAAAAAAGTTTGTAATTTCAGGGACAGGGAGTGGATAGGGAAATTGGAATCCCCCATCCCCCCCCCTGGAATTTGCTTTGTTATTTAAACAAGACTATATTCTGAAGCAAATAAAAAATGACTTTGGACATCCTCCCCTAACTTAGAAAACATTGACCACACTATCATTGTTTTTATTTTGTTTATTTGTTTTCAGTTTTTTTTTACTCCTGCTTGCCAGGAAATTCTGGGCTGGAATTTTTTGATTGAGATGTGAACCCCCCTCCCTACTCCCGAAAAAAAATTCTGGATCCGCACCAGTATTGGCAGTAACACAATATGAAATTCGTCTAGTGTGGCATGCGATGATCTTTGACCCTTTTTGAACTTTAACCTAATCGTTTGGGTTTATTTTAACCCCCACTATACTTAAACTTGTACTTACCGACTGTCATATAGGTCTCTTCATGAAACATAAATCCAATTATAACACAAAATGAATTAATCCAATGCACACGAGACTGCAGCCATGTGCTATTTCCATTCGGCAAACCTTCGTCGATTCCGTCACCTTATCAGATGAAGTGGGAATCGGCCGAGGTGTGCCAAATGGTGTTTACCGGTAATCTAAAAATATGATAATGGGTGACGCAACGTGATGTGATGTAGAAATTTACATGTTAACATGTACATGTATAGTACAAGAACAAATTTTAAATTCATTCATAACAAACGATGTTTTAACAAAACTTTTCCATCTAGCCTATTCCAAAAAGTATGTGCTGTGTGATTGTGAAGTCGAGGGGGGGGGTGGATTAGTAAATTTAAAAAGGTCCTATTATGAGCAAAACATTTATTAAAATCTAAATTACATCATTAATAGAATTCAAACTGGTATATAATGAATTAAGCATGTAAAATAACCATAAGAGGTTCTGAGTTATAGGTCACAGGGTCTGAGAATTTCATACTTAATTTGATGAATACATGTAAATTATAGAATTATTTTGACTTTTTCCTTGGAAAGCCGCCCAATATGTAGGAGCTTGTATTTAGAGGCAAGCACCTTAGTGCGGGTATTACTGTCTCATGACAGCATCTAGTTTAAGTTAATTTGAGATTCATCTGCCCCCCCCCCCCCCCCAGTCTCTCAACATCGTTGGATATATCCAAAGGCTCAGGTTCATCAAGTTAATTCGAGATTCCTCTGTCCCCCCTGGATATATTTGATATATCCACAGTCTCAAATTAATTAAGTTAATTCGATATTACTCTGCCCCATTCTCTTGACATCGTTGGATCTATCCACAGTCTCAGTTTAATTAAGTTAATTCAAAATTCTTCTGGACCCCCCTTTTTTTCTCTAAACATTGTTTGATATATATCCACAGTCTCAGGTTACCGCCATGAACTGTAGCCTTAAGGTCAGTTAAGGACCCTCTCTACACCAATGCAAAATGTTTTTGGGATATTTCGAAAAAAATATGGAGTAAAGGTGTTTAATACTGAGCTCAATTATTTAATTCTCACTATATAGTACGTGGTACTTACCCCCAGGAAAAAATAATCAAACACAACACAGATTCCTTTGACTTTAACCCCTGCAAACCCTGCATAAGTGACAATATAAAAAGCAGGGGATAGAGTCTGCAGAATCTCGGATTATGGTGAAGTTTATATTTTTTACTTCTCAAAAGTGATTAATAATGAGTAAAAGTCGAGTCCCATTCGTCTGTAATTGAGTTATGTATCTACATTGTACATGTACATTTAACATGTTTAGGGAGGAGTGCCACACCAACTTTTTTTTTGTTTTATAGATCTCTGAATCAACCTTTTTAAACAATGGTTTAAACATTGAAAAGCCGACATGAGCTCTTATTTATTTATCTGTTTATTTATTTATTGTATTTTTTCAAAGAAAATAAAAAAACAAACAAATAAATAAGATGCTTCCCTGTAAAAAAAAAAAATTACTGTAAATGAATGTATCACATGAGTACTTAATAAAACTTGATCTGTAAAGAAAAGCCGTATAGATATTAAAAATATTTAAAAAATATATATTTATGGAAATAAAATATATTTTGTGCATATTTTTTTTAGACTTGATGTACGGTTAAAATCTTCTTAAAACCATTCACAACTGAGGAGAACATGTATAATATTAATCATATTTATATAAGAAATTGAAAGGGAAATGCCAATTTGAGAGAATTTTTTTTTAGTTTTGACCAATCCTAATCAAAATTAAACAGATCCCAACTAGAATAATTATTGTACAATAATTAGAAATAAATAACATTTCCCCAAGAATACTAGTCTGTTAAAGTGTTACAAGGATTAAATAATAACTGTTCAATTTTTGACGACACCTTTTCTTGAGTACCAGCAGTAATGAAACTTCTGAAAAAAATTTCAAAATCTTAATCCTAGTCATAGCTATTGAACGGCTCAGTCAAGTGATATGTACCTCATGATCATTTTGCTGACAAAACATACTATTGAGTACTAGCCGCAATTACCTTTAACCTTGAACTTATGGATTTGACCTACTTTTCAAAACAGATATTTAGTGCTAAGGTATTACTATTTTATCGGTCTATTTCGTTTGGTAAGAGCTTCTCTTGAATATACCAAAATTTTTATCCTTCTACTAGGACCCCAGACTTTGAAAAAACTACGGTCAGGACCTTTGAATGGCTCTTTCTGTGACTCTTTCATATTTCACCTGTGTATTCTTTGTGAAATTCCTTTGGGTATTATTTATATTGACTCATTGACCTTGTCCAGTTTGACCTACTTTTGACAATCTCTAACTTCGGTCATAATTATTGAACTGTTGCTGCTGTTATAGCTTTTATCTTTCGAAGGTAGATTCACTGTGAGGAACATTTCGTTTGGTACCAAAAATAATTTTATATTGACCTTTGTGTTTGACCTGTAAACGACAACATTCATCGTAAGCTGCTGTGTTTCACAAAATTATCTTGATTTTTTATCATCAGCTCCTAAAACTTTTCCTATTAGTTTAACAACAAATTCCATGTTGTAGCCTTATCAAATTTTTGCATATATATAAGCCATAGTCCTCACATCGCATAAAATAACATGCGTTGTCTTAACACACATATTTATTTTTAGTTGTGTCATTATTTAAGCATTGAATCATTCTTTTAAAAGATGTAGTTTCATAATCCCAAAGGTATTTGCAAACATATTGATTAATGTTAGCTCGCTTAGTTTTATTTACAGAGACAATTGCAGATATAAGATAACATCTTTCAAAAAATAATGAAACAGTGCTTTTTTTCTAAATCCTTGTCTTGTTTTGCAAATTTGATTTCTTTTTTTAACTTACTTGCATTATCTCAAACCTAAATAACAATAAATTTAAATGATTTGAAATTTTTGATTTTCGCTTATGACTTTGCTCTTGCATGGCATTTAATGTTTGTGACCTCAGAATAAAACGCATATTACACCCTTTTGACCCCCAATCTGTGTTATGGTATTTTGAAATTTAAAAAAAACAATAAAACATTACAGTATCGATATAAGTCTACTCTAACGTATCTTGTGCATTCAAGAGCAGAAAAATCAAATTTTTCTTTCTTTTTTTAAACGAATGTCTGTAGCAATAGAAGATATTGATCTTCAGAAAATGTGATTTTTTTACTTTAAGCTCATAATCTGTCATTGAGAATCTAGTATCATTGCGTTTCTTGCCACACCTAAAATTCAAGATATCTAAATATATTTACAGTATAATCAGATTTGTGGAAAGAAATGTTCAGTAGGTCTCACTTCAACTATTTAGCTTATTTTCTCCATGACATTAAAAAACAACAACAATTTCAATTTAAGCGGTTTTAAGTAGATTAATGGATAATAAATGCTCAACCATTTAAAATACTGCATGGATGGAAAAAAAAGTTGGGAATATATTTTCAGAGAAGTATAATCTAAGATGTATTGTACTACAAAACATGACCATCAAATATACCTTTATACCTATGGCTTTTTTAAAAATAAACATCTTAACATCTTTATTACAATGAAACCTGTCTTATCCGACAAGCACCGTGAAGAGAGATCACAAATGTATGTGTCATGATAAACAAAGTGTAGCAATGCAGGTAAAGATCGTTGACATAAGTATAAATGAGAAATGAAATTGAATGGCAGACACCACAGTAAAACGTATTGCACCTGTGTCGGATTAGACAGGTTTTACTGTAATAGTTTTAACAATAAAACAATCTACATTCTTATTCTCCGTCCAGACATCTCTATTTATCAGTGTGAATAACAACGAAATATTTCTTAAATCAAATTTATTAGAACACAAAATATGTACATCTTTTACTGAATACATTCAGTAGAACAAAATTACAATAATTTATCCTTTACATAATCCTTCATCCCCCTTTACTGAAAACATATTTTTAATCACTTGACATAAAACATTCTTACAAAAAAGGACCCCGTGATAAATGCTAAATTAAAAACCGTCACTTGAATCAAAATGGATTCGTCTCATTGATAGATGATCTTTCGTCTGTTAAAAAAAGAATTAAATTAATGTTTCACAGAAATAAAAACATATATTTTACTTTGAAAAATTTCTTATAACCATTTGAAATTATCACAGTAATACAAACAGAAAAAAAAAACTTGTTATTAAGATTTAATGATGTTTACCTAGTTCCGTCTGATCATCATGGTGGTCCCCCTCACTGATGCCCCAGTCTTTACTGTGGGAGTCCATGGTCTGTTCCAGAGCTCCGGGGACCAGCGACCGTTAAAGTAGACGCGGTTACAGTGGTTGAACCACCAGCCTCCTCTAAGGTCATGGGCAGCAGCACAGTGACCACTCCACAAGTCGTTATCCCTGTCCGGGGTGGAGAAGTTCATCAGATCGTGGTATGTCATTTCGTCTCCTGAAATACAAAAGTGTAACAATAAAAATAAACACAGCATTCATCTCCAAACAATTTGTCGGTATCTCTGTCCGGGGTGGAGAATATTATAGTCGTAGTTATAGTCAATCTGTCGTTATGTCTGTCGGGGGTGGAGAATGTTATAGTCGTAGTTATAGTCAATCTGTCGTTATGTCTGTCCGGGGTGGAAAATATTATAGTCGTAGTTATAGTCAATCTGTCGTTATGTCTGTCGGGGGTGGAGAATGTTATAGTCGTAGTTATAGTCAATCTGTCGTTATGTCTGTCGGGGGTGGAGAATGTTATAGTCGTAGTTATAGTCAATCTGTCGTTATGTCTGTCCGGGGTGGAAAATATTATAGTCGTAGTTATAGTCAATCTGTCGTTATGTCTGTCGGGGGTGGAGAATGTTATAGTCGTAGTTATAGTGGAAACCTGTGTCTAACATACTGTCTCCTATAGAAATAAAGAAAAGGAATCACCGAGATAATTGATTTATATCAAATCTGATTGTCAATAATATATACTGATGTACTTCTAAGATAGACAGCTTTAGGTGCTGGGTAGAGAGATAATATTTAGTTCAGTCCTAGAATCCCCGATGTCTATCACACTGGTACCTACAGAATTAGATAAAACATAAAACAGAGATAATGATTATTAATTTACATCACATTAATCTTAATACTTGAAGTACGTCTGAGATACGCAGTTTAAGGTGATGTTTTCTGTAAACAGAGATAATGTTTAAAAAAAATTCAAGTCATCAAAACACTGCACAATTTAAAATAAGCATCCATTCTAGTGTAACAATGAACCATAGACATGTTGCACCTTTAAAGTATGAGGGGGTGTAAAGGCCACTTGAAATATAAGAAAACATGAATAAATGAAAAATTAATATATGTCAGAGACAAAGCAATACGAAGTAAATCTTTGAAAATCATAACGAAATAAGATATGGTGTACCTGTAAATGTTTTAAAATTAGATTTTCATTAAATAAAGCATAGGTATTGTAAATGTGAAACGTGTTGAGGTGTTTCAATTTTTTTTTGAATATGTATCCGATTTAATAATTCTAATGCAATTGTTTTATAAAACACTTTTTCATTTTGCCGGTAAAACTCAGTTTGCGACCGTTAAATCAGCATTAACGGTCGCAAATACCAAATTAAAAGATAGTTATTCCCTATTTCTTAATCATCAAAATTTCGTTTACTTTTCGATTTTTAAGTTTAATGACGCTATGTAAACATCCTATTCCGTAGTAGTTAAAATTGCGATTTATGGAAAATTTGGATTGTCATTTAATTGAGAAATGTATTATGAATGTATAACACGTTTGGCTTTCCAGAAAGCCTGAAATGTCATCTCTTTGGCTTCGTTAATGTCACAGAATAAACAGTGGAATGTAATTTTTTTCAAAGCTATTACATATTTTTCTATATTTAATATTCCTCTAGGGAAGGGGAGTGACATTTTATCTAAACAATATTAGATAAAGAAAAAAAGAGTAAAAATCCTATGTTGTGGATAGGAAGGAAATATTTCAACATATTTATTTTTGGAACCTTATATTTATTGCGCACAAAAATGCACTGTTTCTCCGTTTATTTCTCCATGCTCTTCAAAATTTCATCTCAAAATATTACTAACTGTGTCATCCTAACATATTCTTTCGCTGTTTCAACCAAAAAATTGAACCAAAAATTGAAGTTTTCGCCATCAATCCATATCAGTAAATCAAAAATTTGATGTGAATTCTTGGATCCACGCGTCGGCCGCAGAGGATCTTTACACACGCGCTGACCTAGTTAGAAAATTCCATCCAGTTCACACCACCATTTACGTTTACTTAACGTGAGAACATATGTTTAGTGCATGCAACATGTATATTGGAAAACCCCCACCACCAAGGCGCTTTTGTGTGTCTACTCTCTATGATGCACAGATTCATCGTTTACATCTCAATCTATATTTAGAAAATAGCATTATCATCAAACTGACCAGTCGGTAATCCTCGGGCGGCCTCGCACTTTTTGTATTGAGCGTAGTGGAGTCAGCCGAGGATTGCCGATGGATAAATGGCAGCTTACACAGTGACTTTACATCCGGAAATCGTGAGAGATGACTATGAATGTAAATCACGTTGAGGTGTTTTGAATTTGTTTTTTTTTAATTTGAGTATGTTTCCGATAAATAAAACTTCTTTGAACAACAAATTTTCGTGAAGATGTCGACATTATAGATCAATTACGCTCTGTAAACTCCTTTTTTTCGTAGAAGATAAAATGTGAATTATTAAAAATTATCAGGAAGTCCAAGTTCAAAAACAATGCCTGCGCAAATATATTTCCTAGATTTGATTGTGAAAATAATTTAACATAATGTTCTTTTTACTTAAACATATAACTTGAAATTTTAACTACTGACAATAACAAATTAAATGTAAGCGGAGTTCGTGAACTGTACCTGCAAATGATATTTTGAAATAATTAACATGTTTAATTAGCGTGGAATCAAAAACCTATACAGAATATCAGAAAAAGCGTACCTTTCTCCTTTTCCTCATAACTTAATAATCTTTCAATACAGAAAAAGTATTACTATGATAAAATGCGGAATTTGCGTCCTTGCCCAATGTGCCTCCGAGTGCAACAAGGACCAGGAAGGTAGGTATGCGTAATTTGAACCTAATTTTAAGAACCAAAACGTGAATACACTTACCTAAGGTTCCCGTGGCAGGTCCCTCAAGAAGGAGTTGATATTTCCCAGCTTCGTTGGAGACAGAGAATCCGTCGTACATTTCATAAAGCGTTGTACCATTCTGGAGAGTGATGGACATATATATGGATGATTTTTCTTTTGTTAATTGATGGATTATGTCATTTCCTGTATTAAGATATATTTGAAATCAGCTGAAAAATCCATGGCAATACAATTAATTAAATTACAAATATGATTCTACCGTAGTTAAAAATCAAAATATTTTTCCTTATAGCTGAAGGCAATAATGCTTAATTTGGTCTCATAACAATATGTCGCTATATGATTTTCTTCTTTTGTTTTTTTTTCTAATCATTTGAGATATAAATCTAACACGAAATGTGAATGTCCTAGAACACGTATTACCTAGTTTTAAATTCAGATCTTTATTATGCTTCAAAATTTTTTACTTGCAACACGATTTTTTATCTTCAAAATTTTGAAGGAATAAAAAGTTCTTATTTGAAAGCGATTTACACTTACCAACCCAGAAATTTCGTACTTTTAGTCCTTCAAAATTTGTCAACGGGGGTAAAAAATCGTGTTGCAACTAAATATTTGTTTAAGCATAATAAAATCTGTTTGATTATTAATATGTTGTAAATTCACATTTCCTTTTTTATTTCAAATGATTGAAAAAAAAACAAAATCATATAGACTTTAATATGAGACCAAATAAACATTATGAATTCAGCTATAAAAAAATCGTTTTTAACTATTTAGAGTCATATTTATCACAAAAAGTATTGCTGTTTTTCATTGATTTCAAATATATCTTATACAGGAAATGACATAATATCAATTAACTATAGAATATTATATATATATTACTTATTTCCAGAATGCAATATGAAATGTACGTTTCGCTTTTAATTATTTAAGGGACCTGCTTCATCTATTTTATTTTAATTTTAAAAAAAACACACATACCTAAATGTCAATGTTGCACAAAACATTTCGCAAGGACGCAAATTACGAAATTTATTATTAATACTTTTCTTTAATTGAAAGATTATTAACAATGAGGAAAAAGAGATCAAGGTACGGTTTTTTCTGATTGATTTGTCAACAATATTAACGTTGCAGCCATTGTATATTTCTATTTCAATTTATCATTTGCAGGTACAATTCCTTGAACTTGCTTAAAATTTGACAAGTCAGTTACATAAAATTTCAAGTTACATGTTTAACTGAAATATGAACATTATTACAATCAAATCTAGGAAATATATTTTTTGTATTGTTTTGTTCTTACATGATAATTTTTAATAATTCACATTTTATCTTCTACGAAAAAAAGAACTTTACAGAGCGTTTGGTTATAATGTACATCTTTTTGTTGTTCAAAGAAGTTTTATTTTGCTTTACTATTAAAAAACTTTCAAAACAATAGTGGTTTGATTTAATTTATAATAGCATCTTGTTTTCCGTGTGAGTGACTAAAGTCACTGTGTAAGTTGCCTGTTATTATCCATCGGCAATCCTCTAGCTACTTTTTTACGCCAGATTAAAAAGTAAAAGGCCGCCCGAGTGATTAAAAAATGGTCAGTTTGATGATAATGCTATTTTCAAAATATAGATTGAGATGTAAACGATGAATCTGTGCAAACTTAGAGAGAACACAAAAAGCTTTGGTGGTGGGGGTTTTCCAATATACATGTTGCATGCACTAAACATATGTTCATATATCATAAATGGTGGTGTGAACTGCCTGGAATTTTCTAAAAGGGTCAGGGTGTGTAAGAAAATAAACGGCCACCATCCAATTGCAATTCACATCAAATTTTTGATTTACTGAAAATCTACTAACTTATAACGAAAAATTCAATTTTTGGTTCAATTTTTTGGTTGAAAAGATTCCACAAGAATATGTTTTATTTTACACAGTTAGTAATATTTTGAGATGAAATTTATGAAGACATATCCAGAAATAAACAGATACAGTGCATTTTTGTCGATTTTGGTCTCAGTAAATAACATATTTTGAAATATTTCTCTGTAAACATAGGATTTAATTAAGTCTTTTTTCTCACACATCTCGGAATAACAATTGATAAAGCACTTTTTCTTCCCTAGAGGAATATTAAATATAGTTGATGATATGCACCCTCTTTTAAAAAAATTACATTCCATTTGGTATTCTGTGATATTAACGAAGGCCTGAATCACATTTCCACTCGGATTTCTAAAGCCAAAGGGCGTGTTATACATTCATAATACATTTCTCAATTAAATGACAATCCAAATTTTTTACCATAAATCGCAATTTTAACTCTACGGAATAGGATGTTTACAAAGAATCATTAAACTTAAAAATCGAAAGAATAAAGTAAATTTTGATGATTAAGAAATAGGGAATAACTATCTTTTAATTTGGTATATTTACTGGTTAATATTGATTTAACGGAATTGATAAGTAATTTTCATTATGTATGTAAGTGTTTTATAAAACAATTGCATTCAAAACTCATTATCTTAGCCAGTAAACTGAAATATTACTAATCATGACAAACGTTTACATTTACAATAAAATGCTTAATTTAATGAAAATCTAATTTTAAAACATTTACATACACTCCTTATTTCGTTATGATTTTCAAAGATTTACTTGGTATGTGCTTTGTCTCTGACATATATTAATTTTTCATTTATTCATGTTTTCTCATATTTCACTAATCCTTTACCCCCCTCATCTTTATTGCAACAGTCTGTGATTTCTTTGTTAGGAATGGATGCTTATTTTAAATTGTGCAGTGTTTTGATGACTTGAATTTTTTTTAAACATTATCTTTTTTTCCAGAATTAATATTCACTCTTAAACTCTGTATATGCAGACAATGACCTTTCTATTTTAATGTGATGTAAATTAATAATCATTATCTCTGTTTTATGTTTTAAGAAATTCTGTAGGTACCAGTGATTGCCTATTTATGGAATGAACTAAATATTATCTCTCTACCCAGCATCTAAAATCTCACTTTAACAATATATGTAGATATGTTAATCATGGAATAAAATTGATATAAGATCAACTCTGCATGGTACAGTGTTGCCATGTTTAAGTGAAGATAACTGAATCATCTTCACACAGGTTCGAACTGAAGCCGATCCGTTGCTTCGTGCAACCTAAAAGTCTCATAACGACAGATTGACTATATTAGAAACTATAATATTTTCTATGTCAGACAGACATAACGACAGATTGACTATAACATTCGTATTCATTCTGGGTGGTCTTTCATAACGACAGATTAGTACTATAACTTTAGAAGAAATTCTATAAAAAGGACAGACTGTAAGAATGCTCGAACATTTAATTTTTTTTTATTTACTTAAAAAATCATCTTTAATTTGTCTTATCCACATGATTTTTTATGTGTGTGACTATAACAATTTTTTTCCCCCTTAAGACATAACGACAGATTATATATTTCACAAAAATATTCAAAATATAATTGGAAATTTTTGGAGGGCGAATGCCATGTGTTTAATATTTATTGTTACACTTTTGTATTGAAGTAGAATAATTTATTTCCACGATCTGTACCCTTTCATTTGGACAGTCACTTGTGGAGTGGTCACTGTGCTGCTGCCCATGACTTAATAGTGAACTGGATGCCATTAACCACTGTTTGGATCTACTTTAACGGTCGTATCCCCGGATGCTATAGGAGGACCATGGACTCCCACAGTAAAGACTGGGGCATCAGTAGAACGCCTTTCTGATTTTGCCTGACGGTGGTTCATTAAATCTTAATCAAGTTTTTTTTTTCTGTTTGTATTACTGTGAAATTTCAAATGTTATAAGATTTTAATTTTTGTTAGATGGAATATATGTTTTTATTTCTATAAATGTTAATTTAAAATAATTTTATAAAAGTTTTCATCTATCGAATTGAAATCCATATTGAGTAGTAGGTAGAATACGGTTTTTAATTGTAGCATTTATCACGCTTTATGGGAATGTTTTATTCTTTAAAAAGAAGTTGTAAATGACAAAGGATTATTATATAAATTATTGTAATATTATATCTACTGAATGTATTCAGTAAAAGATGTACATATTTTGTGTTCTAATAAATTTGATTTAAGAAATATCTAAATGTTATTCACACTGATAAAAAGAGATATCTGGCAGACAATTCAATGACTTTTTAAATTTTTTTAAATGTTAATATTAAATAAAGACCGATAAGAAATGTATTTTGGTAAAATTGTTTATGTGGTGTCTGGAATTCAATTTAAGAAATTGTCGAAAATTGTAAAAATCTTTACATGCATTGCTAACTTTGTTTATCTAACACTTACATTGGAAACTCTTATTCTTGTAGGGTAATTATTATTGTAATAAAATGTTAAAATGTTTATTTTTAAAAAAGCCATAGGTATAAAGGTATATTTGATGGTCATGTTTTGTAGGGATATACATCTTAGATTACTTCTCTGAATAACCAAAGCGATTAAAACAGGCGATTTTAAATGGTTGATGCATTTATTATCATTAATCTTTAACGAATTCTCTTAAATTGAAATTGTTGTTGTTTTTTAATGTCAGGACTAAAAACAAAAGTTGACATTTCAGAAGAAAATCTTTCCACAAATATTATACATAAATATATTTAGATAGCTTGAATTTTAGAGTGATGGCACGGTGCATGATACCAATTCTCAATGACAGACTTGTTTATTTTTTATACAGAACGTGACAATTTCTGAAGTTGCAATATTTCTATTGCTAAGACATTCGTTTAAAAACAGAAAAATTTGTGTTTTCTCCCTTCACCAGTAAACTAAAATTTATAAGTACTGTAATGTTTTATTGAAAAAATTTCAAAATACCATAACACTGGATCCTGTAAAGTGTTACGGTACATGTATATAGTCCGAGGGAACAAACATTAAATGCCATGCCAAGATCATGTTGACAGTTTGACTGTTGGTAGTATTTCATCATGTAATTATTAAACTATTCATTTTATTATAGGTTTTAGATAATGCAATAATTGAAAAAGTTATGAATGAAAACAAGACAAGGATTTAGAAAAAAAGCACTGTTTCATTATTTTTTGACAGATGTTATCTTATATTGCAATTGTCTCTTAAATAAAACTAAGCGAGCTA